TGGGTGTACCTATATATACCACTGCCACCACCATCATCTCTTCCATATACTACTTACTTACTTACTTACTTACTACCTATACGTAAGTATATCTTTGGATCCATACGTAGTGTACATACGCGTCATGTACGAGCGCGCAAGTAGCGCGACCCTACTCCTAACGTCGGCGAGGATGAAAGCGCACCACGGCCTTTGTCTTTCTTCCTCTCTCTCTCTCTCTCTTTTTCGCTCTCCTTCCTCTTTTGCTTTATTTCTTCCTCCTCTCCGGCTCTGCGGGTAGCCCAAGACGAGTATTTTCTCTCCTCCTCCTCGGATTCGTATTCTTACCCATGTGTGTACCCATATATATATATGTATACACCCAATAAACGAGTGCTCGGCTATACTCTACATTTTCCCATACCCCGCTCCGTCACCCCCTTGCTTAGCGTCCACTCTCCGTCGTCTTACGGGGAGGCTCTCTCTCCCTCATCATCATGCTCCTATGGTGCAGGCGGCGCATTTGAGATCTCGAGCGTGCTTCTCCAGATTCGAGATTTGACAAAAAACCGCTCCGACACCGCGGGCGCGCGGCCTCCTCCCTCCGCCGTATAAACTTGATGGGCATATACACGACGGGGTCAGATCGCCGGTGTGCAGTCGGTCAGGCAGGTAGACGACAGGGTGAGATCGCGCGTGAAAGTGCCCGCCCTTCCCGAATCGTCGCAATACCTGTCTCCTTAAACGCTCGTCGCCCGTCGATTATAGTTGGCTATTCAACTCGGCTTGGTATAGATGGACGGCATGAATCTCCAAGGACAAATATTATACATATACATTACCCCACACAGTGTAGGAAGACCGGGGCTGCTTGCCAATTTTTTTTATCCTCGAGAATTATTTGGTACTTGTGGAAACAAAAAATAAATATTTCCTCCCGAGCGTTACATCTATCATTTTTTCCAATTAATAACAATAAAAACAAATAATTATTCGTTGACACAAATTAACTATACATGTACTTCAATCATATGGACAATTATTTATAATCAGGTCCGTGGACACTTACATTTTTCAAAATCAAGGTGTCGAGTCATTCTCTAATCAGTTATTAAGTAGAGTCGACTACCTACATATTTTTTCTTCACTTCCTGTACGTACACGTATTGTACACGTTTCGGCCGAGCAAAAATAGTTAAAGATGATCGTAAAAGGGCAAAAACAGAAGAAAAAAATTGTTTTTGGAATAAGCTCTTCAAGTTGCGAGCTTTGGTGAAAAGCATTGTCCAGATGGTAAAAAAAAAAAAAAAAAAAACTTGGTTTGTAGTAAAAAATTAAAAAACATGTGAGAGTCTAGCCAAATTAGCGGGACTCTTGAAAGCACGATTTGGCTTTGAGTACCGAGCGAGAATAGCCAGTCCGGGCCTGTTTTCCACCCGTACATGATGGAGTGAAAACCAAATTTTCGTCCATTACGACGACAAATAACGTCAGGAGGTCATGCGTGGAGCAACGTTGACAAGTTGACAGCAACAGCCGACGCGTATACGCGCGACTCGAGAATATTACACTGACGGATGAAAGACCCGAGACGACCAGCAGAGCGTCTTCTGGGAACAGTCAGCTATAATATTCTCATTTGTACTCACATACACACCTATGCGGAGTCAAGAAACTATGTGATGCGTGTCACATACATCGTATTTATGATACCTAATAGACAACAGGAAGAGAGCGTTATTCATGGCACAAATTTGTCCCTCGTCGGCAAGTTAAATTTTCGAGAATGGCTTGCAAATGAAGGTACACGACTAATTGAACAAGGGAACGTGAAATGTTTGGTGGATGGAGGAAGAGGAGGCGATTCTAAATGCAACGATATGTATAATCATACGAAAAGCAATGGGTATTACCTCTTCACCCTGCTCGGCAGAACGGATGCATGCAAACCTTAAAATCACACGGTCGCATGCAGACGACCCCAGCAGGTATCACTTTTTTTTTCCTCCTCCTCCTCCTCGCCAATACTTAATTGTCGTGGATGGGCGAGCTTTGCCGAACGTGCCCTCGTTTGTCCCCCAGCCACGCGATTTCGCGATAAACTATCTACTCGCATTTATTATATTCGTGCGCCATAATAGGAGGAGACCATTGCGCGGCAAGCAGGCGTATAACAAAAGCCGATGGATGTGCCGTGCGCTGCACGAGGGCTGAAATGACGTTGCGTCGCGGGCTCTTTTTTTTTTTTTTTTTTTTTTTTTTTTTTTTTTTTTTTTTTTTTTTTTTTTTTTNTTTTTTTTTTTTTTTTTTTTTTTTTTTTTTTTTTTTTTTTTTTTTTTTTGTGTGTGCATATATACCCCTCTAATTTATGACGTTTTAACATTAAACGCCGTCTGAACTTTCGTCACGCGGGTGATGGCTCTCTCCGTGCAAGCGTACCTGTAAGTACCAGGTATACCTGCAATTTTGAGCATCAAATTATGTTTGCAACCCGATACCCGAATAATGAGAGGAGCATCGCGGTGAAGGGACTCGGTTAAACAAGTCGCCAAGCGAATCGCAAGGGAAAAAAAAACAATTCATAGTGGAAAATATCAATGGAAAATATACCGGGACGACAAATTTACACTTGAGCGCACACGCGTGTTCTCGACCAAGTCGGCGGGGCAAGGGATGTACATGATAAATCACGACTACGGAGTGAAAAACAGTTTTATCGATTAAACGAGAGCCGAGCCTCGGTGTCCTTTGACGGCAATTTTTGTGTATACATTATACTCTGGTCTTAAATGTATATTGTAACGTGGGGTCGGTGGAAGCTCGCCGAGGCCGCGGCGGTGACGCTAATTCATTCTTCCCTTTCCGTTGGCTCGTTTCTCCGACTTGTTAAAATTAAAAGGACGCTCGGGTAGCCGAGCAGCGCGTGACGTCGACTTTCGAGCATAAATTATTATCATATACACACGCGCTACCGCCTGCACCGCTCCTTCAGTTATGCAGGTATATGTACTTGCCCCAACTACTTATATACTTACTTATTACTACTATATCACTGTGCTGCATAACATGCGGTGTATATTTTTGCCGCTCGAGTGTGTGCCGTCTGCCGTGTCTGCTGCTGCTCGACTTTCTTCTCTTCCCGCACCCGCGATTTTCCCTCCCGTAATTATACATCTCGTTGGCGCTCGCGGGGAAGCCTACCTGTACAGGAATTGCGTGCCCAACTCGGTTGAATGTATATTATGCGCAAGTACTAGTACGCGCTTTGGTCGTTGACAGAGAAAAGGAGAAAACAAAAATGTTCAGACTTCAACTACAATTTTTTTAAGCACAACCAATCCGCAAGAGTACCTTATTTTCATTGTGATATCTTTTTAAATAATATCATTTACCGAAGAGGAGATAATAATATAAGCCTTTAAAATTTATTGAGGTCAATTTTAAAAAAAAAGTATTGTTTTCAAAAGTCACTGTTTCATGAAAACTTGTTCATGTATCAATAATTATACTGTGTTACTATTATTATTTGAAAATTTCACCTACCTTTCACGAATTTTTATTGCTGTAAGCAATAATAAATATGTTATTTTATCAATTGTGGTCAATTTCCCGAATTTGACGATTTCATCAACGTATGTCCACAACCAGCCGAAATACCTAAATGGTGAGTGGTAAAACAACAAAAACCACAAAAAGCCCGATTGCCTTCTTGGGCAGAGCACAACCAGACTGTACCCTCGGAAAACGACAGGAGAGCTCGAGTTGCGTGCCACAGAAGAGAGGCGCGCGACTATGCGATAAATTACGTCATGACAGCCAGGACAGGACGCGGAGAGAAAGCTACCGCGCTAGCTTGCGCATTATACGCGCCGAGCGGAAAAAAGCGGGAGCAGAAAAATCGCATCGCGACATATTATATAGCACCGGGGTGTCCCTGGCGGGGGGCCGGATCTTCCGTATACCCCTCGCTTCGGCGTCTTTTCGTGCTCTTCTTCGGCTCTGCTACTTACTTAGCTGTCGTCGCACTGATTTCCGACGCTGAACGCGCAAGATGGCTCACGCAAATTTGACGTTAACGCTGAGCAAACGTTCAACTTACCGGAAGCGCAATCACGCGCACGCGATGCGTCTGCTCTGCCAGCGACGTTCACTCGAAATGTTGAATTTTCGCCTCGTCGCTCGACGCCCAAGTGATAAAATAATAAATCTCGCCGAGCTATCTCCCGCGTCCCGCGATCTTTATCACTGCTGTCAAATTATCATGCGAAATATCACCACATGCGGGGGAAACTGTTCTAGCTGTATCGTTACAGTGACACCCACACACAGGGCCAAAGGGCAACTTGACCGATGAGTCATCGCGTACAGGATGCCTATGTGAGTGTGCGAGACGCCTTATCAAAAGAAATGTAAGTATATTGGCGCGCTGCTGGAACCATCCGGCTGTGTGCGATCAACGACTGCCCTACGGCTCGTTTTCCTGATTAATGTCTCGGATAAGATGGTGGGAGATATCATTCAATGTCTTTCGGCAACACGCAGCGTATGATTTTTTTTTTTTCCTTCAAAAATTATAGTTTCCCAAATGTTATTCTTCAAGTTTTCAAAGTGTGGTAATTTGATTAAACAAGAAAATTAATAATTGAGGCAGTACGATACAACTAAAACGCTTGGGAATCATTTAAACAAAAGAAAGAAGAAAAAAAACCTAATGCTTTGCGTGACAAGCTCGGATGATCTCTTTCTAATTTGGGTAGTTCGCGCTCCCGTTTTCAACTCTATATAGGTACTCGCTGATATTGGCCATCGTAGCAGCCCAAGAGGAGCGAGAGAAATTGTTTGCTGCAAAAAGAACGGCCAGGTAAGGTAACCATGAACGCTAACGACCACTTGGCACGAGACAATCGCGAAAACGAGAGGGACGCATTGTCGTACTGCTGCATGGCTTGATTAGCCATTACAAGTGGAATGGCCTTTTGCCTCCCGAGGAACATTTATTATTAAATTGATCAAAGACTTACCTTTCTCTTCCTGTTGCCAGGCTAGAGTTGCACACAGGAGGGCTAGAGTTTTACCACTGCCAGTTGGACTCTCTAGCAGACAGTGCTGGGAATTCTTGCATCCCTTGACAACCTAGGACAAGAAATTTTTTAAAAATTAATTCATTATTAATTAAGGTGATACAGTGTACAGCACTGTTTAAGCTTACCGAACTCATAACAGTTTTTTGGCTACCATACGGAGTCACTGGAAACTTCACAGCCATTCCACCACACATTTCAGGAGGCAGAGGATTATCTGTATGTATTTTTTTTTCAAGTACCTGACTAGGTACTGGTCGCTCCTCCCACTTGTTGTCTGGTTCGTCTTCTGACAAATCTATTGTTTCTATGGGTACAGGATCGACCTTTCTTTTCTTCTCTGCTTGCTTCTGCTCCATAGGCTCCCACTTAAACAATCCTCCACGCTTCATATCTCTTGGTTTTGGGCTTTCACTTTTTAGAGAAAATCTGTAACATGAGAGTACACAAGTTTAATGAGATGATTGAGTAAAAAAACACGGATAATTTGAAAAACAATGAATCAAATCTTCAACACAATTGACATGCAATCAACTGCTCAAAAATGTAGGATATGATGTTTGCAGTACACGTTTTCTACATTTGAAATAAGTACTGGAAAGGGGTTTAACATCCATCATAAACGCAAGGATGAACTTGTATTTTCAAATATTTTTTAAAAAGCTAACCTCAAAAGGAATAAAGTGCGGATAACTTACAGCTCGTCATTGTCCAGATACTTGTAGGTGTAATAAGCACAAAATAGTAGTACAATAAACAAGTAAATTAACATGAAAGCATTAATCTTACAATTTAAAAACAAATCTCAACGGCACAAGCGCGTACAGACCTGTTGTGTACACAAAGAGAGAGAGAGAGAGAAAACAAATAAGGTGTTTAAACGAAGAGGACGGAAACGACACAGAGTGTGTGAAAAGGATACAAGTAACATATGGGCGCATTTACATGTACATCTCACTGGTAATCTCGCGATCTGCAGTACCTATGCCATGGCGGCATATTTAAACCGTATGGAATACGAAAATTGATAATGAAACCACAAAGAGAATAGAATACAATTATTCACGATCATTTTCACAATATTGATGTTATTGACATAAAAAAAAGAAAGAAAGAAAAATTAATAGCCTAAACCTGATGATTCAGGTGAAAATTCAGGTGAACTAAAATTATTTTTTTACACGCGTTTACGTGAATTATTAAAAAATAATCATGGATTTTAAAATAAGAAAACATTGTTTTTGTAACACCTTCATTGCTTGTAGCGTATTTTTTTTTGGCGATTCTGTAAATACAAAAAAAAAAAAAAAATTCTCTGTACGTATGGTAGGGACCATCACAGCAACGCGTCTTTGGGCCATTGTAAATATTTAGCCCCCTGTACATGCGAGAGATATGTCGCGTAAAGTGGCAACAGCGAGTCAAATATCTAGCCATTACCTACATCGTACCTCAAGTTTCAATTGTGCAGGTGTTGGCAATATACTGCACTCTATTTTTTTGGGTCCAACCTTACGGATACAGAAAATGATTATCCAACGTAAAAACTCTTGGCAAGCCACCTTTTCGAGCGCTACGGAAAAAAAAAAAAAAAAAATGAAAGCACGATAGGGAGCTGATAATATTATTAAGCAGCTTCGGTGGCGACGGGGGAACCAGGAATGAAAGGGAAAAATTAACATTAATTGCGCGTATCCTATATATATATACATATATGCATTCTCGGGGGGTGCAAGGATTTCCGAGAAGCCCCAGTGACGTGCCGGTAATTTATAATAAGGAAGATGCTGCGCGTACGCGTATATATACGTACACTGCACACAATGATATGCGCGCCTCTGATCCCCTTGTGATTGAATTTCATCGTGTCGGATCTTCTCGAGGGCACGGAGCAGGTAAGTGTATGTACGTGCAGACGAAGAAGAGAGAAAAGGAGGCACGGCCACGTAGATAGGTATGAGACGTCATGTCGTGGTCGCGATGGCCCGTGATACCAGATGTGAATTATAATATAAAAGCGTGTGCATGGAGTCGGTCAGTTGAAGAAGGAGCGAGGAGGAGCATGTGTAGCCAACTGCGTGTTGCTGTTGTCGAGCATATTATTATATATATATAATATTATGTACTTGGGTATACGCACACCTACCGAGGCGCGTTTTCATTACACCCACCTCGAGTCGACCCGAGCCTCTTACGGGTTGCGCGAAGCTAATGTTGAGTATATCCTATCGTTGTTACGAGGTGTATCGGTATAGCCAACACCCAGTTTAAGATTTGTTAACTTTCAAGCTCAGGAAGTAGCTACAAGAGGGTGAAACTGGTTGATGTCCGACACAAAAATGACGAATAATGCTTGGCAACAATTGACACATATACGTACATTTGCCGAAGGAACTGTCGCTACTTTCCATTCATTTTCCCCCTTTGGTCGATTCATTCAGTGAGATATCTCGGTATAAAAATGTTGAATTAAAAAAAGAAAAAACAAAAGCCCCTTCGACGTTGACTAACAAAGTCTGTTGAATATTTTTACGTTGGATTCGTCAACCTCCTCCTTGCATCGTGTACAGGGTGAAAATTGAATTGGCCCGTCACACGCATCTATATGAAATATATATATATATACACCACGCGGCTCTTGTCACCACACTCCGCGCGGATTAATCGAGGTGTGGTTCCTCCTTTACCTGTACAACACAAAGCACAGAAAAAGACATAAGCCAGCAGTAACAACCTAATTTTTCTGTCACCCTGGACTCTCCCCTACACTCGGCCGAATTAGGTACATCCACCCCATGGCTTTGGATCTCGTGTAGGTGTACATATATGTATATGTATCAATCTATCGCCCACCCGATAAGATAGGGGCCACATGCGACCTGTCTCCCCGGTACCGTATACTTATACTTTCGGACACTACAGACGAGCCGATAGAAGAAAGAACGAGCTATATAGAGCCGATAAGGGAGAGTGGGGGGGGGAGAAACAAGACGCTGGAAGTAAGTGGACGTGAAGGTTCGAAGGCCCACTTGAGCGAGGCGCGGGAAGTTGGAGAGAAGACGAGTCGTATAGTAGGAAGTACATGGGGGTGGCCATGCGCGAGGAGAGGAAGGCAAGTAAAACAAAAGAATCATGCTGGCCACTCGCCAAGAAATTGCTGCCGGCGCAGTCCCCAACCCACCTCTGTATAGTTGCACGAACGCTATATATATACATATATATACACATAGACCTACCGTGCGCACGGAAGGGAAATGTTTGGTCCAAAATTTTCGTCCTTGTACTATACCTGTAAACTCTTGCTTCTTATAGGTATATATATATACGTACAGCTGGCACAAGGGACAGGGCTATATATATAGGTATGAGCGCTAAAGAAGCTATTAGGACTCGATTAAAATGTAAAACGCTCCTCGGTGAGTTACCCGCGCACACACACTGCCCGCGCTGTTATTCACGCTTGGATGATCCGGGCGCGGCCAATCCAATAAGACAGCTCGCAGATTCGGACAATAATTTTCCGAGGAGAGTCAGGGTCTGCGGGGGGAGGGATGGAGGGGCGCCCGGCCGGGACATCGATCAGGAGCGGTCGCGCTGGAATTAGCCGTCCCTTGCAGTGTAGCACAGCCCGGGGCTTAGAACACGGGGGCTGGGGAATCGACTGTTGGAGTACGTACACGCGTTCCCGTCACCAGTGTTGGTGATATCGGTAAATTCTATACGCATATTATAGTCGCAGTCCAACTTTGAGACTCTCGTACCTATGGTACATATATAGAGACGTACACTTACTTATTGAAAGGCCGAAGAAGACAAGTTGGACCGATGGGGACGATCCACGAAGCTAAAGCGGATACTCCAGGGAATGAGAGCAGTGTGATTAGCGATAGCATCCACCGTTGAAATCGTGTATGTTTTTTCACTTCAACGCGTCACGTGTGACGGTCGAGAAACAATACATACGTTGAAGGGACCATTCGGAGCTTACGAGGGCCATTTTTGTAAGCACTTGTCTTGAAACCTTTGCTTGGTTTTTCTCCGCCAGTCATTTTCGACTCGAGTACCGGGGAAAAGTTTGAAATGTTCAGGCTCTGCGAGTATATAGGTACAATGGGAAAGAAAAATCTAAAATTGGAGCGTTCACGCGAGTGAGTGGGTAGTAGTTACGTAGACCAGCTCGGTTAATTGGGCCGGTTGGAAAAAAAAGGGCATCTGGAAAAGTGCGGGGGGTCTCTGTTGGGTGAAGAGCGCGCCGAGCCAAAAGGGAGTTTCTTTGGGAGCGGTAGGCTAAAAATTTCATAAACACGCCGGCAGTCGGTAGTTGCGCTAAGTAGGTATGCCGTGGCAGTGGGGAGGACGAAAAAGCCCTTCTCACGTGGGTAAGCAAATGCCGGGCCAAGAATGCCCCGCGCGAGTTCGTCGGATTTTTTTCGCCCGTGGGAATCTCATTGAATAGCCATGCACGCGGGCCCGCGCTGACGATAAACACACACACACACACTAGCGTTGGCTGTACCCATTTCTCTTTCTTCGCTTGTTTTTGCTCGCCAAAAGGGCGCCTCTCTCTCTCTCACCGAGATGGGAAGAGAGGAACCGCCGCCGCGTAGGGGTACGCCTACATACACAATACACCACGTTACTTGGTAAATTTTGGCCGATATACGCGTCGGATTTACCTTCACGTACTTTTTGCTCAATGAAAGCAACACGACATTTTATTTTTTGTCGAAAAATAATCCAATACTGATAACGGAGCGCCTACAGATTAACATGAATCATTGTTACGTTGATATCATAATGTAAAGGCCATCATAGCCTTCGTCTTGCCTAAATATTAAATGAGCTCTTAACCAAAAGTGGCAACTTCCAGGCCGATAATCAAAACATTAATTTTAACAACTGATTGCCGATGCCTATCCTACAATATAAGCAGAAAGTATTAACGGGGCGGAAATCTGGTAACCCGGAGGGTGGGTGGATTGACAAACGACTGTATAGACTTTGTATAATAAGTTTACCTGCGAGTATACTTTACTCCTCTGCTGGAGAGCCCGGTACAGTTGTCCATACCAGAAATTTGGCAATTGCACGTGTACGCATTCGGTATGTAGAGAAAAACATCCGAGCCTGTTTCGAAAAAGATGGAAAGTAGAAGTAAGAAAAATCAGGGAAAATATGATTAATGGGGTATATTATATTAAGGGGATTGCTGTTTTGCGGGGGTTGTAAGCGTAGCCCAAAGCTCCCCGGCTTTTGATAAGTCGAGAGAGGCTTACTGCGCTAAACGTATACACTTGTATGTGGCTCGGCTCTCCACGCGCCTGGAAGTTATTAGAGTGAGATTTTATTTCCGAATACGTCGCTACAAGACCACCGTGACTCCCTCTTATGGCTGTAATACGGTATACGCCGTTGTCGTGTAGATGTATATATATATATATACTTGTAGGCATCGTGTATAAGTGGGGTGACACGCGGCTAAACTGGATGAGATGGTTAAATGACCGGTGCAAAAAAGTCATAAAATAAGTTATAATTTGGCTTAGTCGGAGTCTTTGGCGTCGCGCTGTTCAATGTCCCGTGTGATCATCGCACTCTCGCCCGAGCGCACACTACCCCTCTGCAGTACATACATATACTAAACGTTGCCGTTGCTGACTCCTCCGTTGTGTTGCGCCTCCCCCACCTCGAGCGCCTGTCCACCATCATCCCCCTGCCATAGCAGCAATTTTTCTACTTTTTTTTTTCCTCTCTCTTCTCCTTGGAAACTTTGTCGTCTTGTTTATTCTGATTTTTGTTTTTCGTCATTATAATACTCTTGTGTTTTATGTTTTTCTCATCGATTCCAAACAATACCAGTTACTGCAACGTAGGCTCAA